TTGCTTGGATAAGCTGAAATTGGTACTGAAAGATTGCACCAACCACAGGCTCCGACATTCAAATCAAAGCTGGTGATTTGGGCCCTTCTGAAGAATGGTGTTCCTAGAAATGGTGTCTGTCATTGTTAGTTTTATTCTCTCATAAAATGAGAACTATGGATCATGTGAAGGCATAAGTGTCAAGTAAAATCTATGCTATGTTTGCAAAGAAGTGAAATTGTATACCTTCTATAGTTTCAGGCCAAATGTTAGTGCTTAGCACGCCATACAGTTGATTCTGTGCACACAAATAAATCACAGTTTAGATACGTATGGCCCTTGAAGCACATTTTTCTGCAGTTATAAAGACAAGGAGTCCAACTGTACATGAGATGGGAAAATCAACTATATGTAATCATTCTCTTCTGCAGTAGAATTAAAGACACTTACAGTAACAGACTAGGCAGAACTAGAGGTAAGCCACTGCCAAAGGTATCAACAATTTTCACTTTTACTGTTTCTCACTTAGAAAAATTTGCTTGCTGCTTCTGTATTCCTCTATATAATTTCAGAGAGAAAATTAAATATGCTGCTTCACATTTCATTTTTAACAGTTAATTGCTGCATAAATACATAGCATAAAGAAAAGCACAGACATTTTATAAAATTTGAATGGTTCTGAAAGATTCAGTTGCCTCCTTATTTACATTTCTTATGCAGAAGAGGTATCCGAAAGACCTGCTCTGAAGTGGCTCTTTCTAAAGTAAAGGCAAAGTTAAATTTGCCTAGAGAGGGCCTGAACCAGAAGTTTAAACTCCTCATCACTTTAAAGGCAATAAAACTGACATTTATTGCCATGCCATGCCAAACTAGAGCCCCACCTCTGGATAACTAAAGACTATATGGCAGATGGATGCTTTAAGAGCCTTCCCTGGAGCCTTTCAGTGCATACCACATTGTCTGTTTAGATGATAAACTCCTGGAAAGGCCTGGACCTGGACAGTTTTTCTGTATTTTGTGCAGCTCTACTCTTTACAGTGTTTAAAATGATCATCACGAGTAATCCATAGATAAACTACCCTAAGAAAGACAGTGTTGCCTACCCTGCAAGAGCATGGCCTCAAATGTGGCATAAATACCATTTGCTCCCAGTTATTTACAGTGTCTATTTTTGTTCCCCAGGGAGCCATGCGTCCAACGCCTCATTCATGGGTCATGCAGGAGAGATGAGCACCGACTTTACTGGACTGTGAATTAGGCAACCAATACCTAACACTCCCAAAGGCTGCAGGCTAACGCTATATATATGTACACACACACATATATATATACCTACACACACACCTCTGTGCCTCTCACAACCTCTACCTGTGCTATCTGGCCCTGACGAATGTCAGTAAATCCTTGCCAAGTCCCTGGCCAAACCCACCTGCAGAATCAGGCAGAACACTGCATTTTGCAGTAGTGCTGAACGTCTGTCAATGTGCTGCTTCCGTGCCACTTATCATCCTCGCTTTGTGTACTTTTAGACAGTTCTTGTAACGTTACAAACCAAGGTAATGTATCATGAACTATCAAATGACATCACATGAATGTGATTTTGCATATGTCTACTGTTTTCACAATAACTGAAGCAATAGTGACTTTTCCAATGAAATAAAAAACCCAAAAAACCTAAAAAATATCTAGGTCATTGCTGACAGAAAGATTAAATTTATTTTCAGCATGTGAATCTTGTTGTTCTACTTAATTTGATGGTATGAAAGGACAGCTAATGACACAGACCTAGGGTGCACACCAAGCCACATGTGACTGTGGGCAGTGCACCAACAAATTACATGGTCATTGCTGTAACACTCCAGACACTAATTTATAGCTAAGCCATAGGACTTCAATGCAAACGGGTGGATGGTTTTTGAAAGGTGAATGGCATAGCTAAGTTTCACCTTTTGCTAAATGTATGCAGTTCCTGTTTTTTGGTATTTACACTTACATAACATGACTAAAATAACTGGGAAGTGGCAAATTAGCTCCATCATCTAACTGGCTGGAGTAAACATCAAATCTGAAAAGCCTTCCTTGGGCAAGGGGCTTCCATCCCATTTGTAGTTAAAAGGGCATGGAAGCACAGAGAAAAACAAATCCAAAGAGGGAAGAGAATGGAAAAGAGACTTGCCAAAGGAGATACATATAAAATGTATTGTACTACCTGTTAGGAAGTAAAATTCTGATAGGGTTCTTGCTGCTATCTTTCCTTATGCTCTCTAGAGCACTAAATCTTACTTCTAGTGTTTAGAAATTATAATTGTGACAAAATCGGTAGACAAAATCTCCTGAGAAATCCAGAATAATATGCCCTGCTGCTGTAGAAGACTATAAAAAAAGTCTGAATTCTGAATTAATGTGGCATATGAAAATAAAACTAATTCTCACCTGTATTTGGTTTGTGGGGAAAGATTTTGGTAGCGGGGTGTTACCGGGGTGGCTTCTGTGAGAAGTTTCTAGAAGTTTCTCTTGTGTCTGACAGAGCCAATGCCAGCCAGCTCCAAGATAGACCTGCCCAAGGCTAAGCCCATCAGCAATGGTGGTAGTTCCTCTGTGCTAACGTATTTAACAAGGGGAGAAAAAAACCTGCACAATAGCAATTGCAGCCAAGAGAGAGAATATGTGAGAAAAACAGCTCTGCAGACACCATGGTCAGTGAAGAAAGAGGCAGAGAAAGAGCTCCAGGCACTGGAGCAGAGAGTCCCCTGAAGCCCATGATGAAGACAATGGTGAGACAGGTTGTCCCTCTGCAGCCTGTGGAGGTTAACGGTGAAGCAGATACCCACCTGCAGCTCATGGAGGACCCCACACTGGAGCATGTGGATGCCTGAAGAAGGCTATGACCCTCTGGGAAGCCCATGCTGGATCAGGCTCCTGGAAAGACTCATGGAGACAGGAGTCCACACCAGCGCAGATTTGCTAGCAGGACTTGTGACCCCACAAGACACTAGGGTAACCCAAGCTGGAGAAGTCTTTTCGCAGTTGACTGCACTCCATGGAAGGGACCCACACTGGAGCAGTTCATGAAGAACTGTAGCCCGTGGGAAGGACTCACGCCGGAGAAGTCCACGGAGAACTGTCTCACATGGGAGGGGCCTCATGATGGAGCAGGGGGAGAGTGTAAGGAGTCCTCCCCCTAA